ATAATAACCATACTTACATAGTGCCTTCGGTGTGTTTTATATAAATACTTATCTAATATTTTATATTTATTTATTTATGTTGTTGTTGTTATGTGCTGTCGAGTCAGACCCGACTCATAGCGACCCCTCCTTGGGTTTCTGAGGCAGTATCACTACGGAAGTAGATTGCCCCGTCTTCCTTCCGAGGAGTGGCTGGTGGGTTTGAACCACCAGCCTTCTGGTTAGCAGTCAAGTGCTTTTAGCCACTATGCTACCAGAGCTCCCATATTTATTTATATTTTATATAATTATTTATTAATTTATCTAATTCTCACAACATTCTTGTGAGGTGTGAGGTAAGCATTATTCTTATCCCCATTTTACAGATGAAGAAACTGGGGCCCACAAAAGTAACTTACCCAAGATCATATAGCTAGTAAATAACAGCCACGCTGCCAGGCTCCCAAATCCGTGCTCAAGGAATAACATGAAAAACACTGGACCTGGCATAAAGTAGGTCCTAAATAAGCATTACCTCCCTCAGAAGGATATCTTTTCTGTCAATGGTATCTTAGACCAGTGACTTGGCAGAATCCAGTAGTGGACCTGTCGTTCCTCCAAGCCTTTGTCTCTGAACCCTGTATCCATCCCTGCTGGAAGCCCCAACAGTCCCCATTCTCTCAGGAACCAGGCAACCCTACTTCTCATACAGTCAGTCCAGCGATTGAGGCTTTCCACTATGGGGACGAGTTTCTTCCCTTTAACCCCCAAATCCTAATTAGCACCTCTGGCCCTAAGGCTTTGCATGGTGCTGCCATCTGGTGGGTAGAAATGACCACTGACAGACCTTTCTTACAGTGGACTCCTGCCATTGGCCAAGACTGGTCAATTCTTCCTCTGTAACTATCAGGTCAGGTTAACTCCACTCAGAATATATAATCGATTGGTGACTGAATTCCATTAATAACTATGGCTTTTTCCCATTCTTGTATCAAAGATTTTATGAGTGAAGGCCTAGTGACAGGTGGTATGACAATGTGGTTGTATTTGTGGATAAAAAATCTTACTAACTAACTCCCCTTCAAATCACGTCAAGAAGGCAGCTGCATACTCAACATAAGGACATGGGTGAAATCCAAAGGATATACTGGACAGACTCTACAGAGATTCCAGTTCCTTTTTTAGATTCTCTGAAGTACTCACTCTCTTCTTGCAGTGGGAGTGGACAGAGGCCCAGGCTAGGGAAAAGTTTGAAGAGCTACTTTGTACTAGAGTCTGGGCTAGGCCTGCTCATATCCTTTCTCTGATGAACTCTTTAATGATCCCCTGGGACAGGATTTATTTTAAATAAAGATGAAAGAACACTTAGAAGTTAGTTAAAAGAGCCAATTGAGACTCAGAGACCAATGATGACTTTCAGCAGCTTTCCAGACTTGGGAAAGGGGTCCATATTGACATTATGAGACTCAGGTTATAGCCAGGTCTGTGGCAAACTGGATAGGCCCTAGGGCAACTGGTCACTCAGACAAAGCTTCAGGGACTCAATAAAAACTTGTTGGATTGAGTGCAATTGAGCCAGGAACCAAAGATATGAATCTCTGCCCAGGTATCCTTTCTGGCCTTGTGACTGTGCAGAGACGGTGGGCAAGTCTTTGTTACTCCTCCCAATTCCCTCATTTAAAACCAAAGGGTTAGGGTCTTGAGTGTTAATTTGAGGGTATTTGGGGTCCCTAGGAGCCCTTGTGGTATAGTGTTTAAAGTACTCAGCTGCTAACCAAATTTTGGTGGTTTGAACCCACCAGCCACTCCAGGGGAGGAAGATGTAGCAGTCTGTCTCTGTAAAGATTTATGGCCTTGGAAACCCTTTTGGCAGTTCTACTCTGTCCTATAGGGTCTCTGTGAGTTAGAATAGACTCCACAGCAATGGATTTCATTTGGTTTGGGTTGGGGTACCCTGCAACTAATTGGTCTCTGAAACCATTTCTCCATTTTGAACATCCTGTCAACATATAGAAGGTCCCTGGGTGGTGGAAACAGTTTGTGTTTAACAACTAATCTTGAGGTTGGGGGTCAGAACTCACCCAGTTGTGCAGTGGAAGAAAGGCCTGGCTTTCTGCATCCATAAAGATTATAGTCAAGGAAACTCTGTGGAGAAGTACTACTCTGTAACACATGGAATTACCATGAGTCAGAATCAATGGGACTGCAACTTTTTTTTTTTTTAATTAACCAATGCGGATCACTGCACCATTGATGGTAAAGACAGACATTATGAACAGAAAGCCAATGTGCTAGAGCTGAGCTATCCAAAATGAGCCCCTTGTCTGTAGCTTCAGTTCCTGTTAGTTTCCGTTAGGGGAGAGAGGACTGCTGTCGGTTAGTGGAGAAATCAGGTCTGACTGTAGAGCAGGATGGAGTTTCTGAAGCTGAGCTCTGGCCTGGAATCGGAGGCATATATCCTAGAAGGGAAAGTCATGTGATCCCCTGAGCGTCCACTATGTGTCTCTATACTAATTAAAGCCCTTTCTTGGGCATTCTTTCATTTACTCTTCAGCAATGTATTTTTTTATGTCTGACATGTGAAGAAATTCAGCCTCAGTGACAGTTTGTAACTTGTCCAAGGTCACATAACTAATAAGTTATGTTATTATTATTAACTAATAAGTTATGTTATATTATTAAATCCCAGGGATTCGAACCCTAGGCTGTGTCTGTACCTCCAATGAATATTCTTTGAACTGGTCAACTTGACTCTGTGACTTTTGAGAGAAAAGTGCCTGTTCTGCATTTGTCTTTTGCTGTATTTTTCCAAAGTTACAAATTACCTTAGAGGACCAACTGATACAAAAATTTAAGGCCATACAATCCACTTTGTTTTCCCTTGAACCTTATTTTCAAACTTGGGGCTTTTTTCTTTTTCCATTAAGTGTGTGAAAATTGAGTTTTGCCTCCTCTCCCACTTGCCCTTTGGTGGCGTATTAAGATCTTGGGAAGAGCTGACCTTCCGGGAAAGAGAGCAGAAGGAAGGATTAGACTTTTGCCATTAGTGTACTCAAGGCCATTACTTGTAATTCCGTCTAAACTGAAGAAAGACCAGTCCCTTTCCCTGTGAGTTGAATTATGCTTCCAGAGGAGAAGAGCGGGAGAGGCAGGTGTTACTCCCTCATGGAGGCAGCACATTTCTCTGCTTTGAATCTGTTCAGAAATGGTGTCTTCTCTCTCTCTCTCTCTCTCTCTCTCTCTCTCTCACACACACACATACACACTCCCACACCGACACATACACACTATCCTCCTCTCCACCTGTTCATAACTACCGTTCTCTCCTTTACCCATGAGTAAAGGGGAATCTTCCAGAATCTCTAGTAGGTGTCTATTTTCAAAGCATCTTTGAGACCCTTGGCTGATTGTGCCATAAAGTGCCCCTTTTTGGTTCTGTGCCTTCCCTCTTTTGTGGGACCAGTTCTTTGAATCTAGCAGACATCACCTGAAGGAACCACCCTGAGTACCACCAAGCTGGCACACAACAGCAGGGTCCCGCCCCCCAAGGCCAAGAAAATGCACCGCAGAAATAGAGAAGAGGAGGGAAATCTGTTTTTAAAAGCCTTTGTGGAAAGGAATTCTATTCAGGTGCAGAGAAGTGGCTGTTCAGCACAAGGGGGTAATATGAATAAACATTTGCTCTAATAACAAAATAGTGTCACCACAGGAGTCCAGAAGTGTTCTCAGTTGTCAGTCACAGTTCTCTCCTGCTACCCTCCCTAATGTCATAAATAGCAGGTGGAGGAGCTTTACCATTCACAGAAAGCTTAATGAGCCAGGTCCCTGAGGAGTAAAACTGGGGTTACAGGACACAGCCTTGTCCTGGGAGCTGCACAGACTTAAAAAAAAAAAAAAAAAAGATAATAATTTTTTTCCTCTGTGGCTGGGGTGGTGTTCCAGAGACATCTAATAGTTCATCAGTGCGGCTTCTAGGAGATTCCCAAGAGGATTGACCATTACAGTTGCCAGCTCTGGAGATGCCTAGGAGGCCAGTGGACAGAAGTGGGGTGGCAGGTCGGAGGCTTAAGTGATGCCAAGGAAGGAGTGGACGCCCACAGGGTCTGACGGGTAAGGCAAGACAGGCGACCTGGCCCAAGCTTCCCCGGCCACTCTCTGAGTCCTGGCAAACAGAAAAGAGGTTGATGAACCTGCTAGTAGGACTAGCAGAGAAGTCCCACGCCCTGGGCTGGCAAGGGACGCTGAACCTCTTGACCCCCCAAAGGCTAGAGATTCCTGCGCAAAAGCAAGGGATGGAATCCCCCTAGAGGCGGACTCTCAAGTCCTAGGCACTGGAACTGGCTGTGTGTCCTTTCCGGGTGCCTCGGGTCTGGGGCAGCCAGTGCTGGTGGAGGCTCAGGCGCGCCCCTGGGGGGCGGGAGCCCGGGGCGGCCAGCAGGTGGGGCCGGGGGGCAGGACTCCGCCTCCCGCACCCTCCCTGTTGGTCCGCGGCGGCCCAGCACCGGCCCCTCTCCAGAGCCGGAGCGCGATTGGCGGTGGCGCTTGTCGCTCGGAGGGGGCCGGGCCGCTTTGCTCCGTGGCTCTCCCCGCCGCCGCTGCAGCCACCGCCGTCCTTCTAGCAGCGCGGGCCGGTCGGACCGCCAAGGCAACCCGCGCTGGCTATGGGAAGCGGCGCGGCCGCGCTCTCAGGTAGTGACAAAGTTTCCCAGACACGCGTATCGAGGTGTGCGGCTGCTGGCCACTCGTGACCTCTCTGGAAAGGGCTTGGGGATTTTTAATTTGGAAAAATAATCCACCTCATTTCCTTTGTCAAGCTTTCTCTCGGGTGGGCAGCGGCGAGAGCTGCAAACTTGGGCACAGCGGCTCCACAGCCAGCGGACTGGGGCTTTGGAGAACATCAGGACTCAGGTGCTCGGGCGCCCAGCGGCCTGGGGTGGAGTAGGGGGTGTGAGCGCAGGGTAGTCCGGGGCTTACGGCGAGAAGGGGCCCCCGGGAGCTCTATATGGAGGAGGGAGCCCAGAATGGTGTGCACCAGGAAGACCAAAACTTTGGTGTCTACTTGCGTGATCTTGAGCGGCATGACCAACATCATCTGCCTGCTGTACGTGGGCTGGGTCACCAACTACATCGCCAGTGTGTATGTGCGGGGGCAGGAGCCCGCGCCCGACAAGAAGCTGGAGGAAGACAAAGGAGACACCCTGAAGATCATTGAGCGGCTGGACCACCTGGAGAACGTTATCAAGCAGCACATCCAAGGTACGGGCTCCCGGGGAAACTTAGGCGGTCCCGGAGGCCCAGGAGTGCGCGGCGCGGTGCCGAGCGCTCTGGGACGGATGCGCCTCAGCCGAGGGACAGCGCGGCTCTGGGGCTGCAGACGCACCGGGGGCTGCCTGTCAGCTCTTGACAACGAGAGGGACCTTCCGCGTCTGCGGCCGTGCGCGCTTCTCCAGGGCACACGTGTGTGCGCGGGCTGTACGCGCGAGTGTATGCAGCTCGCTGGCGGTGTGGGGGCGCGCTGCGCACGTGTCCAAATGTGCGTGTGATTCCAGGCTGGTTGCTCAGGGGCTCTTGTAGTTGCATCTAGGTCCGGCTCAGGGTGTGTGTGCGAATGAATGTAAGTGCCCAAGAGAGAGCGCGTGGGCCATCGAGCTCATTCGTCCACTGTAAGGGCTCGGGGCGAGATGCCCGCGCTGCCCCAGCTGTTGACGTTTTGTACCCGCAAGCTGCGAGACAAACTGGGACTAGTCCCAGCCCCAGCCCTGCGATGCGCGGTCCGCGTGCGGGGTGTAAATGCCGCGGGAAATCCGGTGGGGTCTCGGGCTGGAGGACTGACTGCTTGAGCCTACAGCAGTGTACACCCCCCACCCAGGCCCGCGGGTCCAGGACCCTCTCGTTTCTCTCCGGGAGCCAGTGTCGACGCCGGGAAGAAGCACTGGAGTCTGGGTCTCTTACCACTGCGGTGTCGCCGCCGCCCAGGACCAAGAGAACCCGCCCTGGGCGTCGCCTTCCTCTCGGGGCCGCCGGGGGTTGTGTGAAGACTATTCCCTTCGGTAGCTCCACTTGCAGGCCCAGGGAGCGACTTGGGCGGAGCAGACAGACCGCGCTGGATGGCCCCTGGCGTGTAAAGCTGCATCCAGTAGTTGCTCCCAGGCTAGTGTCGGGGCCAAGGGGAAGGTGGGGTGCGGGGCGCTCTACTGAGGCGACTTAGTCCGGTGAGCTGTCAGAGGAAAAGGATAGGGCTCCCGGAGCCTTGGGCACTGGCACCGGGCACACACGCACACACACATAGACGTTTCTCGCGTTCATATTTCTTTTTGTTCGCCTCACTGTGGCCCCTGCTTTCTAACAGACTTGTGGGCTTCTAAGGGAGGGTGAGCCTAGTTTACCAGTAAACCTGGCAGGCCCACCAGGCTTGGGTCCAGAGCACGAAGCAGGCAGATTTTGGCAAATATCTGGTTGGATTGAAGGCTTTTCCCCCTTGAGCACTCTCCTGTTTGCACGTGGGTGTTTGGATGCCAGCCCTTGCACCTGCTGCCCCTGCCAGAGTCAGGGCTGCTGCTTTATGTTCTCTGGTGTGTTTTTACCCACATATCCAGAATAGTTCCATCCCAGGGAGGTGCAGGTGAGTGCAGGAGAGGTATGCACGTCCATTGTGCTTCCTGACTAAGGACTTTTTTTTTTTTTTAAAAAACATACCTCTAATACTTCACCGAAAAAGGGGACCATTGGCAGCTTCTCCTCGGTGTCAGCCTATGCTCTCTCAGCCTGACAGCTGGTTTTGTCTGATCCAGTCTGTCTGTTCCATTGGTGCCTGTTGCTGCTATTTCTTACTTGTCCTTTTGCATCCCATAGATCTGGACTGACAGTCAATCCACACTGGAGGAGGGAGCCCAGAATGAAGTACAGTGTTTGCCCCAGGGTGATTCCGAATGTTCCCAGGGAGACACAAGGCCATGCCTTACTTCGACATTTCCAGTTTGCGTATGGATTTTGAGAGATTTCCATTCACACAGTCTGTATGTGTGCATGCTCCTGGGAGATGATTCTCCTGTGCTTTTCTGTCTGGTCAGGGATGAGGTGAGCAAAGTACTGCTTTGGGAAGCAGTGACAGGACATCATTAACCCATGAGCTCATTACAGAGTGGGCCTCTGTCTTGTTGAATAGGACCATGCCATAGTGTTTTTAAGACCCTACATGAAAATGAGTGCAGTGTTGAAGTTGCAAGAGCCTTTGTGATTTTTCTCCCAGGAAACCCTATAACTATACATTGTTTGGAACTTTCCAATATTTATCTGAAAACATTGGGGTGGATGGTTAAAAAGAGGAAACGGGGTCCTAAAACCATGTGTTGATCCAGTTCTTTTGTGTATGTAAAATGTATGTACGATGACTTTTGGGGTTATTAGGAAGTGGCCAGAGTCTTAAGATAGAAAGGCTGAAGCCATAATCTATAGGTGGGTGAGGGATGGAGAGGATCAGTGACGGGAAAGACTCAAAATGCGTTAAACAGAGGGCAGAGGTTACTCTGTTGGTTGTGCTCTGATAGTATAGCAATAACTAATGACAGTTCCCTTAGAGGTTCCATAGCTACCCCTGAGCTAGGACTTGGGGAGTATAGATAAGAGGCCCACAAGGTTTGAGATGGGTCAAATGCAGCTCTCTGAAGGCAGAGGGTGGGAAAGAACAATATGATCAGACCCTTGTACTTGATGATGTGCGCTGTTATATGTACTCTCGTGATGATTCATGGTGACCCTATGTGTATCAGAGTAGAACTGGGATTTTCTTCGTGGGGTTTTCAACGGCTGATTTTTCAGAAGTTGATTGCATTTTTCTTCTGAAGTGCCTTTGGGTAGACACAAACTGCCAACCTGTCAGTTAGCAACCAAACACGTTAACCATTTGCATCACTTGAATTGACTTGACAGCAACTGGTTTTGTATGTATTCTCACTGTCAAATCCCTTTAGTTGCTAGAGTCTTTTGAATAATCTGGTTTATTCTGCTGAGCTGAAGGGAGTAAGGGATAATAATAATAATAATGAGCTAAAAATTATATGTTGTTGTTATGTGCTGTCGAGTCGTCTCTGACTTATAGCGACCCCTCCTTGGGTTTCCGAGGCAGTATCACTACGTAAGTAGATTGCCCAACCTTCCTTCCGATGAGTGGCTGGTGGGTTTGAACCACCAACTTTCTGGTTAGCAGTCAAGTGCCTTAGGCACATCTAAGTGCTTTATGTACATTGACTCATTTCATCCTTACCACCCTATGAGGTAGGTAATGTTATCTCCATTTTACAGATGTGGAAATAGTGCGTTGAGAAGTCATAAGACTTGCTCTTGGTCATACAGCTGGTAAGTGGTATGTAGGGATATAAACCCAAATTATCTGGTTTTTGAGTGTTTGTTCTTAACCACATAACACACTGCCTCCTAAGAAGGGTAGAGGACCAGAGGGAGAAGAGTGCCCCCTGTAGTCAGTTACGAAGGTGCAAGTGTGTGTCAGAGTGCAGGATTTCAGAGGATGGCTGAGGGGTGATGGAGTCAGTAGCTTTCCCACTTGGAAATTCTCTCCATAGATAAATTTAGGAAGCTCAGGGTTTTGTTTTGCTTCACACTGAGAGGCAGAGATTGAATCCATGTAACAAATGTTTGTTGAACACCAGGACAGTTCTTGGCACACTCTACATAGAGTAGGTGTTGGATGGACGAATGGAAGATTGAATGAGTACACAGTGGTGATGCCTGGTGCATTTATTACTCATTAATGAAAGTGTTCCCATTCTCAAAAGAATATGTTCTGCTTTGGAGTCTTGCTCAGGATCCTCTTTTCCTTGGAAGAAAAGTTGTCATGGAAGCTGCAAATGTCACAAAATGTTCTTCAGGATATTCGGTGGAACTTGCAATTAGAAGAGGCTTTGGAGCTTCACCCTAGAGGTCTGTTCTAGTCATAAATGAAAAGTTTATTTCCTCTTGGGGGTTGCAGTGATATTTCATTTTAATTTGTTTTCTGATTGAATGATTTAATTAGATGGTGTTTGAGAATCTCTTGGGAATGTAAATTGTAGTTTTGAGAATTTTTTATATTTAATGAAGTAGATAGTAAATGAAGGGGCGGGTAACTTTAGAATTTTTTTTTTTTTTTTGTCAAAGTATCCTGCTGGTTTAGAAATACAAAATCAGTCACTCCAGGTTTCCATCTTAGAAGGAGAATGTAATGATTGCTTAAAATGGTGAAGCTCATGAAGGAGAGAGTGTGTTAAAAGAAGCCTGAGTGCTGAAGAACTTCGGGAATGGAAATATTGATTTACTTTTTATTTTGGAAGTCTAGTAAAAACACCCCCCCCCAAAAAAAAAGAGCTTTCTTAGTATCTTTTTTAAATTTGTGAAACAATGTGTAAATATTAAAGATTGAAAAATGTATAAAATAGCCCAAAATCTATTGTATTCTAACACAACTATTTTGCCTTTTGAACATCCCCTTCTAGCTTTGTCCATTTACCTCCATATTTAAAAACAAAGATGTGGTTGTGATTTACATGTAATTATATATATATATTTTTTTTCAATTTGCTTTTTGTTAGAAGCATTTTTTTTTTTTTTCACATTGCTACATGGTTTAGTGATTCAAATTTTTTTTTTATTGGAGACCTAACATGTGCCAGACACTGCACTGGGGAGGTCCTGGACCTACAATAGTGCACCAAGACTGGTCACTTCATAGTCTTCAGACAACAATAGAATCCCTCTTTTTCAACATAGTTAGGGTTCAAATTGGTCAGGTAATTTAAAAATTGATTGAGAAGAATAGCACAAAATATTACAAAAATGCAGTAAATATTTTATTTTAACATAATTTAAGATGTACATTCATTTGGTAGTCTTTTGATAGAAGGCCGTGACTTTGTCTTTAAATGGGGTCTGCTAATTGGAGCTTTGCATCAATGTCTTTACATAAACCAGTCCCGTAACAGGATGCTTACCCACTGCCATCGAGTCAATTCTGATTCATAATGACCCTGTAGGATAGAGTAAAACTGCCCCATAGTTTCCAAGGTTGTAAATCTTGTAGAAGCGGACTACCTCATCTTTCTCCCACATAATGGCTTGTTGTTGTTGTTATGTGCCGTCGAGTCGGCCCCGACTCATAGTGACCCCTCCTTGGGTTTTCGAGGTGATATCACTATCAGAAGTAGATTGCCCAGCTTTCCTTCCGAGGAGTGGCTGGTGGGTTTGAACCGCCAGCCTTCTGGTTA